TTAGGGCTGAGGGATTAGGGTTTGGGCTGGAGGGTCCGCCGGCGTCGTTGAAGCTTGGCACCTTCAGCAATTCCGCGTTGAAGCAAGTTCCTTGCCTATGGGTACTGGCTTACCTGCAGACCGCACGCCCACGTGTAAAAAGTACAAAAGCTGCCCTGAAGCCAACTTGCCAATGCTCCCAATGTGGCTCTACATGTCGAACCCCCGCCATCAAAAACCTCATATAGGGGGCTTGAATTAAACAAATATATACACACATATTTGCATACACATACAGAAACAAACATACATATATACATACGATGTACATGCGTTTGCATAAAACCCTTTTCAACAACCAAAATTTAAAGCCATTGTAATTGTAATTGTTGAGGCCCGATGCTAATTTAGAAGCCTAAACCAATTACCACTACTAGTTTGGGAGTTCCCCAAAACCCAATTCTGATTACACCTTAAAGCCCGAAACCCTAAACCCGAAAACCCAAGCCTTTTTTTAATCTCTATGTCACTCTGAGATGCCGGCTGCAATGTCTTCCTTCCATGCCAGGAGCACAGCATCCGCCCCACCTCATCTGGGAACCGTAACAGCCCAAACCCTAAGCCAAAAAAGGTTGGTACTTCAGGGTTTAGGGTGTAGGGTTTAGCTTGACAGCGTAGCTCTAACTCCTATGGCAACAGTAACCTAAGCTAAGAAGCCAAAAAGCCGACAAGCCCACAAGCCAAGGAATCCAAGAAACCAAGGAAATGAAGAAGCCAGGCTGCAACGAAACTAGGGAAGCGTCCAGGCTGCAACACCAACGAGTCGAGAGGCCGAAGCCGAGAAGCCGAAAGCCCAGAAGCCAAGGAAGCCAAGAAGCCGGGAAGCCAGACAAGACAAGAAGGCAGGATGCTTCAAGCCGGAAGGCTATAAGAATTGAAGTGGCGAGGCCGAGGCCAGGAAGCCAACAAACCAAAAGCCGAAAGACCGCGCACGCACCCAAGCCAAAAACACAAAACTCCAAAAAACAATATCCCAAAATAACTACGCCTCCAAAACTTATGGGCACCCAAACCCTTAACAAATTTCCATAGACCCTCAAGAAAGAAATGAAATAAATAGAAATTGCTTGATGCTGCTGGCCATGCGGAAACCGATTTTTTCGGTCGGGACTCAATCTTTCCATGTTCTAACAAACCAGTTTCCGTTTAAGGTTTAAAGCAAGCCAGCCCGCCCCATGATGGCTAGCCCCAGGCCAGCTCAGCCTCGGAAAACGCCGGCCCAGCTCAGGCCAGCCCAACCCAGCTCTCCATCCTAGCCCACCCGCCAGCCCAGCTGGGCTGGCCCACCGCCCAGCCAGCACACTCCGTCCAGCCTCAATCCCAGTCCTTGTCCCCAGCCCCACCTGTCAGCCCCAAATTCAAAATCAAGTTCCAAACGGAAAACGTTTCGTTCAAAACTCACGGTCAAAACGTTTCGGTCAAAACGTATTGGCACCTAAACCCTTAACAATTTCTATAAACCCTTGATGCATGGTTGCTCTAAATGGAGCTCTGCTGGCTGCCGGAGAAGGTCGAATTGCCAACTTGCAGATTGGAGTGAGTTTGTCAGGGACACTCTTCGCGACAACTGCGGGGACGAGTCTTTCATCGGCGCTGGCTGCAGAAGACCATGACGTCTCTGACTTGAGATCCTTGCCATTTGCATCGAAGCGCCTCAATGCCGAGGCAGGAAAAACTGCGGAATGAAACATAGACTTTAGGTGCTTCACTGTGGATTTGAAGTGCGACATGTCATCAGGAATCTTAAGGTATATGCTATTGCTAAAGATTAAGGCTTCTGTATTTAATCCGCGTCAACATGAAAGTGACTTAAGCTCAGAAGCGGCATCCTTGTGCCCCAACAAGTGTGCAAACCTGCTACCAGACCACACATGCACCCAACCTCAATCCGCGGAAGAACTCTAAACACTAATATAGGAGCCTCAATGACTAGACTGTGGTTTTCGGGCCCATCATACTATAATTATAATAAGGATCCCACAAAATAGTATAGGTATTTTATCTAGGCTCCTCCATTACAGTTGCAGCCTATATATACTCTAAGCCTAAACCCTAGACACCAAAGCCACTGATCATGCTCCGCAGCCGTGCGTTGTCTCGGACAAAAGTTCCTACCTGGCCCATCTGGCCAGCACGGCCTAAAGCGGCTCTGCTACAACCCTATCCAAGAGGCCACACCCTAAACCCTAGACCCCCAAACCTCAAACTCGCGGTTTCGTCGGGTTTGGGGCTTAGGGTTTAGGGACTCAGAGTTATAGACATCACAGGCTAGATCCTAAACCTTAACACCTGAACCCTGCTTGGAAAGCTGAGCCTGTGACTGTCAGTACAAGCAATTTGCCCCGGCGTGTCCTGCACTGCAGGGTTCGTGGTTTCGGGTCTACGTAAGGGTTTAAGAGTTGAAAAGTTTTGGGGCTTAGGATTTCTGGCTGATTAATGTTGCTAGGCTGCTCAACCAGGTGGAGTTCCGAGTGAGACAAGGCATGGTGATGGGAGGTCGCTACTCGAGAATACCGGTTCAGGGTTTAGGGTTAGGGGTTTAGGGTTTAGGGGTTTAGGGTTTAGGGGTTTAGGGGTTTAGGGGTTAGGGGTTTAGGGTTTAGGGGTTTATTGTTTAGAGTTTAGGGTTTAGGGTAACCTAACTGAACGTTGACGAATGTAGAGGCTTTAATCATTGTTCATAGGGTTTGGTGGGAGGGGGATTGTACTATCATCACGGTATGCGGACTTCAAGGGTATACTATTCGTGATTGTTAGGACGTCTATAGAATCTAACCCTAAACCCTAATATTACAATTCTGGGAGCCGCTTACGTCTCTGGATGTCGATCTTGGTCGCAAGACCCAGACCACATACGGCGCAAGCAAAACGAACGACCGTGTGGGTTTAGGGGTTTCGGGTGGTGAGGCGGAGAATTGATCATCGGCCTTTAACTGGCCACAACGACGAGTTCGAACAGAGCACAAGTTGTCGTCACCGTCTTCATGGCACTTCCACTGCTTCTGTGTTTTCCTGCTACTCCACTTGTACTCCTCCTCATCCTCCCCTCATCCACCTGCTGCTGTCGCTGCTTCTGCTGCTGCTTTTGCACATGCGGGTACGATGACGACTAAAACAAATGGTGGTAATAGTGGGGGGGGGTCGCAGAGCAAGACACATCAGCTCACTAGCTCAACATTGTAGTGTTCGTCGCAGCGACTGTAGAGGTAGTGGTCGTCGTCCTCATCGCGGGTGCAGCAATAGCAGACGGAGGAAGAGTAGAAGCAGAAGTAGTAGCAGCAGTAGTAGTAAGTAGCAGCAGCAGCAGCGAAAGCGTCCTGTGTGAACAAGCCTTTTCCTGCTCGCACCACCACGAGATCGCCACGAACCTGCATGCAGGAAAACAAGGAGGCAGCCCCAAACCCTAAACCCTGAACCCGCGAGCAAAGGGCTTGTTTTTTCGGGTAAGGGGGGGCGGGGGCTGGGGCCTAGGGAGATCTTGAGCTTTGGCCTCTGGGGCTTGGTGGAATGTCGGTTATCTCAACGTTCTTGCTCGACAGTGCAAGCGAACATATCTTCCTTTCAGAGGGTTTAGGGTTAGTCTCAAGCAGTACCGAGACTGGCATGAGATGTGAAGGATTAGTAGATTAAGCACCCTTCAGAAACACACTGGACTCAACATGGCTTAATTTAATTTTGTGTGAAATCCTAAAATCCCCAAACCATGTACAAAGCAGAAACGACCTCAACTCCTCAACCCCTCAACCCCGACCCCGCCCTCCGCCAAACAAACCTGAAAGAACAGAAACAAACAACACCCCAACACGCTAAGACAAACCCAAACCGAAGCTACAAACAAAAGTCCCTCCCAACAAAAACACCTCATTGAGCTTGGCATCAAAACACTCAAAACCACCGAATAAATCGAACATAATCTGTAAGTAGTACTGCTCTAAATCCTTGCAATCCCAGGGAGAGGGAGTGAGAGAGAGAGAGAGAAAGAGAGAAAGAGAGAGCGAGAGAGAGATAGGGAGATAGAGAGAGAGAGATAGAGAGAGAGAGAGAGAGAGACAGAGAGAGAGAGAGAGAGAGATGGAGAGAGAGAGGGGAATCGGGTGTAGGGTTTAGGAGAGCGAGGGAGAGACAAAGAGGGACCCGAAACCCGAAACCCTAAAACCCTAAACCCTGAACCCTAAAACCCTAAAACCCCAAAGCCTAAAACCCTGAAGTCTAAACCCTAAAACCCTGAACCCTAAACCCCTAAAGCCCTAAAACCCTAAAACCCTAAACCCTAAAACCCTAAAACCCTAAACCCTCAACCTAACCCCCTAAACCTAAACCCCTAAACCCCTAAATCCCTAA